GTTAAATTTCTTCTAACATTTTTTAATAATTTAGATTTGTAAGAATTGCAGTTATCTGTGTTTATTAGATGTTCATTATTTGCTTGTGTTAATTTGTCACTATTATTTTCTTCCAATGTAATAGGATTTAATTCATCATTGAAATCATTAATGTTTTCTGTTGATTTCGATAGAGTTACTTTACAATGCGGACTTTGTGAATCCGATTTAACTTTTGATTCATTTAACACTGTATCTTGAGGTCTATAAATCTGTTCTTTACTTTCATCAAAAACTTCTATTTTACTAGATATTATACCATCTTCAGAATTTGATGTAATAGGATTTAATTCATTATTAAAATCATTGTTTTCTGTTGATTTCGATGGAGTTGCTTTACAATGTGGACTTTGTGACTCCAATTTAGCATTTGATTCATTTAGTGCTGCATCTTGATGTCCATAAATCTGTTCTTTATTTTCATCGAAAACTTCTATTTTACTAGATATTATACCATCTTCAGAATTTGATGTAATAGGATTTAATTCATTATTAAAATCATTAATATTTTCTGTTGATTCCGACGAAGTTGCTTTACAATGTGGACTTTGTAACTCCAATTTAGCATTTGATTCATTTAGTGCTGCATCTTGATGTCCATAAATCTGTTCTGTACTTTCATTGAAAACTTCTATTTTACTAGATATTATACTATCTTCAGAATTTTGTGTAATAGAATTTAATTCATTATTAAAATCATTAATGTCTTCTGTCGACTTAGACGGAGTTGCACTATAATGTGAACTTTGTGAATCTAAATCAGAAGTTAAATCATTTAACACCCTATTTTGATGTTCATAATTCTGTACTTTATTTTCACTTATAACTTTTATTTCATTAAGTATTGTATTATCTTCAGAATATAATTTGTTTACCATTACGTTGGAACCTTTATTATTCTTCTTTGTTTTTCTATTTCTGGATTTTATTGTATTAGATAATGTACTGCTTTGGCAAGTCAATTGTTGAGAAAAGGATTGGTTGTTAAACTGTGTCTTCAAAAAGTTGCATTCTTCATCTTCAGAAGTGTCTTTTTCATTATTCGAAATATTTGTAGATGTTCTGTTATCAGACAAGTGCGATACATCTCTTTGTCTTATAACTTCTTGCCAACCTATGTTAATATATTTATTAGATGTATTATGTTTTGTTTCCAATGATTTATTCCTTTGTACTCTATGCTTGTTCTGTACTTCTGTGTTTTTTCTTTGTTCTCTTTGGTCATCCTTTCTTTTAAGTTTGGTGTTCTTAATATTCTTAGTATTTTTAGTATTCTTAGTATTGTTCTTGCTTTTATATGTTTTATAATTCACATCACTAGCAAAATTATATGTTTTTTTAGTTCTTTCAGCTATATACTTGGCCTGTGTTGATTCAGAACTGTATATAATGCTATAATCAACGTCAGTGAGATAGCCAGGATCATCGGTATCAGGGTCTTCTTCCAAATATCGCAGGATATTAGTTTTTAAATCTATGTAGTCTTTATAATCTTTCACACCATATTTTTTTAGTTCTGCATTAATTACTTTTGTCCTTTTTCGTATTTTCTGCGATGATACAAATGTATGTAATAAAGAGTTATCAATCATTCTGTTTTTTACAGAATTGTCTGTAATTTGCCAAGTAATACTTTTGTTGGAATGCATGATGCTTTACTTTACTTCACATCTAAAAAAATAAAATAAAAAATATGTAGAAAAAATTTTTAAAAAATGTTAATTTAAATGAAATTTTTGTAAGCAAAATATAAAAATAATATCGTCGTTACCATAGAAAAAAAATATATATTAAACATTATTGCAATACTAAATTTTCTACCTTAATCAAAGTGTGCAAGGTATTGAGACTAGTATTTTTCTTGTTAATAGTGCAACTTCGTGAGAGATACGCTACAGCGTATTCTTTATAATAATATTTTTACAGATATAATAAACTTTATTCTAGAAGTAATTAATTATTTTATAAATACAACTATTTTCTTAAAACATAAACTGGTTTTCTAACCTCAAACATGACATTTGATAATTTATATTTTTTACATTATCACATTGTGAGTGATTTTTTCATTATCACATTTTTATTTTGCATATTATAAAATACGTACAGAAATACAATTTTACTGCAACCAGAAAAGAAATCTTCACTTTATATGACTAACAATAATATTGAAAACCACGTTTCGTATCTTTCAAATTTGGTAAATAATATGTACTTTGTGTGAATGTATCACAATGCAATTCTACACGCAATAAGAGACAGTTATATATACAAAGCATTAGAGAAAAAGAAAGGAAGGAAAAGTGTGGCGTGTGCAACTACGAATTAAGTACCGCGCAATAATCACGCGTGCTAGCAGACGTCTTGATCATGTAATTTCCTTTCGTAAACAAGATGAATATCAGATGCTCAGCATATTGATATTACATGTAATAAAAATATTTAATCATTTCATAAAAATTTAGAGAAATGAGATGTATATTTTTATTTACTGACGTACTGTATTAATGTATAGAAATACAGAGTACTACGTAGATAGTGTAGGAGATATGATTGGTTATCGCTTATCATTGCATACTGTGTGTAGCCAATAACGGTCTTGATAAATTTGTATTTATGGGAAATTTACATGCAATTTTACATTTTGCATTTAATATCCAAAGTGCGATATACTGCTATTTAATAAAATATGCTTTTTAGAGATTTTGTTAACGACATATTTCTAAAAAATTAATATTTTTATGAAATATCAAATATTTTACATCAATAATAAACACATGTAAATCCACCATTAGATGCTACACGCACGCGCACTATTATTATTAATTTATTGCGCATGCGTGACTTTTCCTTCGTTAGCTGTGGTATTCTTTTTTCGTGTATGGTAAGGACTTTATATTTGACGAAACGATTATTCGATGGTACGTATTGATATCTCAGTAACATAGCATAATAAAATGTAAATATAGATACCAAATAACCGAGAACGAATAGATGTTAGCGCGCATAAAATCTCAATACAAAAGAGATTGTGTGTTGAATTTGCATGGTTGAATTTACAAACGGCAAACGATTTTAACATATATTCATTGCGTGTTGAAACATAATTTGTATCATATTGAAATTTTCCAAAGATTTTACAATAGCCAGAAATTCACTAGCTTTATCTTTTTTCTGTTTTATTTTACATTTTGTTTCTCTCATATCTTTCTTTTTTCCTTGTTTCTTCTTCAAATTTTTTATTTCTTTATTTGCATTTCTTCAGCTCTTCTTTTTTTTTCTCTTTCTATTTATCTATTTTTACTTAAACAAAAAGAACATATTTAGAATATAACATACTTTTTGTATATGATTACATTTTCTCATAAAATTGTAAAACTTTTTTATGTAAGGAGAACATTGTACATAAATATTATTCAGTGTTTTTAGTATGTATAAATAATAATCAATAATTAATTCGACATGTCATAATGTGTTTGAATATGAATATTTAAATCATTTATAAAATTTGCTCCATTTATGTCCGTTTTTAACGTAGTTTAAGAACTTAATCTCCTAGTAACATTCGGTTATAATGAATTGTAAGCCAAGTTAAGTCAAATAAACCGAGTGTTATTAGGGATTAACTTTTTAAATCGCATTGGTAAGCCATTAGAGTTTTTTATCAGTTTTTTATATCCCTCAAGAATAGCACGCGATAGGGCGTCCATTGGCTGTGGATGATGCAACTTATGTTTGACGAGAGGGCGTTCAGATTGCGACTTGGACAGCTGTAATCAAGCTGAAGTGCGCAACACGTGCTACGCTGTGTAGCAAGTGGCGTTCTATCATCCTGTTGTTGACGCACATCAACGCACATCGACCAACATTGACGCGTGGTCTACGAAATGAGGGTCCACGACGACGCGGATGCCAAATACATCGCGATGGGAAAATCCAAATTGGCCATGAAGCGGCCGAACACCAATGTATTTGGCAAAGCTCTTAGCAAAATGCAGAGAATGAACGAAGAAAGACAGTGCAACACAGCGAGTGTAGCAAAGAACAATGATAAGTCGAGTGTTGGTTTATATCAACGAAAAAAATCGCTGCCTGTCTATATGCTTCGTAAAAGGTAAATTTTACATTTCCCATTTGTGTTTCTGGTGTGTCTTATACTCATCATAACATTTGTAAAGCGTAAAAAAAAGCGAACATTTTAAGCATGCAAGATGTTTACAAGATGTTGCAACATGGAGGATCATCGTTTACTATAAACAGTATTTAATAGAGCTAACTTTGATATTTGTTTATGGTATTTATGGTATTGGATAAGACATTATCGAGTACTGATAATTTTATTCTTAGCTACTAGTCGGTTTTTTGATGCAGCTCTAAAAAAGAGATAAATTTTTATCATTTTTATATTTAAATATTGAAATAAATTTAAACCACCAATTAATTTAAAAATTCTTAGATTTCTATTTTTTTAAATTTTATTACATGTTAAATTTAATAATCTTATACTGCATATTAAATGATATATGACTCTGTAAACAGAAAGAGTGATTTAGGATTTTATTCTTTTTTATATTAGATTAATTTTTTAAATATATCAATTTTTAAAGGAAAATTAATATTTAATTTAATTTTTTTTTAATGTTGGTTTATATGTATATATTATTGTGTATATTTATTTCTTTTCAATTTTTACATGCAACAAATACATATTTTTTAATCTATTACTAATGGTACACAAGTGTTTGTATTGTAAAATAATGCATATCCAATCAGTCGGAAGAGTACTTTATATATATTTATTATATTCTTTCTTTTCTCTTATATATTCTTCTCTTTTCTCAAATTATTGCTTTTACCTGAAAAAAAAAACATTTGTTCATTGATTTTCAGACTGTTGGAGGAGATTCGTCAGTACAATACTCTGATTATAATAGGCGAGACTGGTAGTGGTAAAACCACGCAAATTCCACAGTTGTTGCTTCAAGCTGAAATAGCTGGTGCAACAGGCTGCATTGGAATCACACAACCACGCCGGATAGCAGCAGTTAGCATAGCACGCCGGGTTGCCCAAGAACAAGGAGCAAAACTAGGAAAATTGGTGGGCTATTGCGTTCGTTTTGAGGACTGCACTTCTCTTCAGACAAGGATCAAATATGTGACGGATGGTATGATGGTGCGAGAAGCGATGACAGATGAAATCTTGTCAGAATATTCGGTACTTTATCATAATTGTTATAAACAACGTCATTAGAGATGCAAATATATAATTTTAAATTAAGAATGAAATAAATTATAAATTCTAAATGATAACTTAATTTTATATAAAATATTCTAAAACTATCACTAATTATGTTATTGCGACTTCTTTAAGCATACATGAAGTATATTAGAAAAAAGAAAATATATGCAATTTACTTAAAATGAAAAATTAATGTTTTGACGTTTAAAGATAGAAATGGAGTTTTTTATATTGAAATATATTTAAAATGCAAATTTTTCTTTATCTTTAAGCAAGAGAATTTAATTAATTTTAAGAATTTTTTTTCCAGTTTTTGAAGCATCTCGAATTTTATTTTATTACTTAATTATCTACTTGATTATTACATGGACTCATAAATTTGTGGCAGGTGGTGATACTCGACGAGGCTCACGAGCGATCTGTACACACCGATGTTCTGTTTGGAGTAGCTAAACGAGCACAGAATTTGCGGAAGTTGAAGAATTTACCACCCTTAAAGCTCCTAATTATGTCAGCCACGATGGATCCCAATAAATTCAAGGAGTATTTCCAGGCACCGGCATTATATCTGGAGGGCCGTCAACATCCCGTGAGGATTTTTCATTCGGTCTCCTCGCAGCAGGATTACGCGTTCGCCGCACTAGTTACGGCCTTTCAAATTCACCGCAAAGCACCTGCAAAGTATTACATCTACAATTCTAACATTGAATATAAAGCGTATTCTAGAAATATAACGTACATAAAAATAAATATTTGGCTTTTGTTTGTTTTTCAGTGAGGATATTCTAATTTTCTTGACCGGGCAAGAAGAAATAGAGGCAGCCGCAGTGGCTGCCCGACAGGTGGCTAAACAATTAGACGGACAGCAGTATCCATCTCTGAAAGTTTTTCCCTTGTACGCGGCACTACCCACTCACCAGCAATTAGAGGCCTTCAAACCTTCGGCACCTGGTATGCGTAAACTAGTACTGTCGACAAACGTCGCTGAGACATCCGTCACAATTGGTGGTACGTGCATTTTGAACTTATTTTTCCCATTACTTTATATTTAAAATAAAATAGAACGTTAAAATTTGTTTGAAACAAAAATTAGCACTAAATTTTTTACAAACATTAAATAATTTTAAAAGAAATTTATTTTTATAAGTGTTTCTTGTATGAAATTGTTCCAATGATAATATAAATGATGTCTTCTGTGTATGAGATTAATTTTTAATATTGCAACTGCTTAAATTTGAATCATGTTGCAGTTATCGTTTTCAAGTTTATCATTTGAGATAATCAATTGAGATTGAGATCTGATCTAAGGATTTAATAAGGAAATTAAACACAGGAATTCGTCACGTGATCGATACCGGTGTTGTCAAAGCGAGGACTCATCATCCGACGACGGGATTAGACATGCTGAGAGTTGAGAAAGTCGCAAAGGCTCAGGCTTGGCAAAGAGCAGGCAGAGCTGCTCGCGAAGCACCGGGTAAATGTTATAGAGCTTACACCAAAGAAGAGTTCGAGAAGATGAAGGATATGCCAGTACCAGAAATTCAAAGATGTTCTCTGGCGGGAGTCGCCCTTCAATTGCTCGCCATTGGTGTCGATATCACCACTTTTGATTTTATGGATAAACCACCCAAGGAAGGTGTAGATGTTGCTGTAAAATGTTTGGAAAAACTGGGTGCAGTTAAAGGTACGAATTCTTATAAAGATATGATAATTCTCTGAATACATTTATCCGCTTAAAAAATACGAATTCCATTTAGATATAACAGTACTTAATTAAATTTTGTTTATGTCATATTTTCAAGTTAAGATATTTTTTTATTTAATACGGAAAGAAAACAGAATATAGATTTTTTTATATTGAGATAGAAACACGATAAAAAAAAGTTGGTTGGTGATGTCTGCATTAAATCATCATTCCATTATGCTAAATATAATATTAGAAGTCGTTTTCATAGAGACAGTAAAGTTCTTATACGCTCTCTTCTAAAAGGATCTCCGCCGCAGCTGACCACACTCGGCCGAACGATGTCATTGTTTCCGTTAGATCCGCGATTTACCAAAGTAATCCTCGCATCGGTGGAGCACAGGTGTCTGGAGGAAGCATTGACGGTTATTGCTTTACTATCGGGCGAATCGATTTTCTTGGACCCACCCACGAAGAGGGAACAAGCTTACAATGCACGCTCACGGTATGGTTCTTGCTTGTAGTCTATGCATAAAGCTTTCAACGTTTATATTATGCATACTGAGCAAGTTTTTATAGACATTGATATTAATTTATAGATACGTGGATATTTTGCGCTTTGCTATGCAACCAGTAGTAATAAATTATTCTTTTTCACAAACTAAATTTAATCTTTCTGCGAGTTAAATATTATTTATACGAATAAATAACTGTCAAATAAGATTTTTTTATATTTAATAATCGAATGTTTTTATTTTTTACTACATGCGCTAAGCATAGATGTGTGGAACGCGAAGCACAGAAAATCCATTTTTTACCAAGCTATAATCTTTTAAAAGTCCGATACGCGCGCGTTCCATTTATGAATGAACGCAACGCGCGTGTGTATGTATATACGCGTTACACGCGTATTATTACGATCAGCTGATCAGCTGACCAGTAGTATCGTACATACCGTAGTAGTAGGTCACTGACATATGTATGTACGATACGCGATTGCATCGTCAGTTAACTTCAGTTCTATATCGAGATCGCTCGGAGTATAATCGATACGGATTGATACAATTATCGATCGTAGGAAAAAGTCGCAGCAAACGGACAAGTTTTATTTGAAAATTGAGATCACTTTCGACAAGGTTAGAATTATTTAACTCGGGTGAGTGATCAGCAAGATATTATCGCTTAATTTGCTTAAAAGAACATTAATTTTTTCGATTTGACAGCGCGAATTCGATTTAAAAACGCGAAACAGCCGCTATCAGCTAACTCGCCGCATTTATGAATTAGAATGATATATTCATTTGCTGCACGCGTAATTTATGAAACAATAATTTACTTACTATCAGGTCTTTCGATACGATCTCACAGTTGCAACAAATGTTTTGCAGACAGCGCATAAATAAACGTAACCTGCAGTCATAGCGAGCGAACAATATATACATGTGTGTGTGTATATACTTATTATCTGAAAAATACACATACACATTTATACACATTTATAAGGAGAAGATAATACGTGTATGAATATTACTTTTAGAGCGTTGGATTTGCAATGAAACGTTTTCCATCACGTTTACAGTTAACTAAGTAAATTACTATTTAATATTGTCGAGCATCTCATTGCGGGTTTCAGATTTGCCTCGCCCGAGGGAGATCACGTAACGTTGTTGAATGTGTTCCGAGCATACCAAAGTGCTACGCAGAAGAAGGTATGGTGCCACGAGAATTTCTTGCATCATCGAAATCTGGAATACGGGTCGGAAGTGAGGCAACAGCTTGCGGCGTTGGCGGAACGTGCGAATTTGGAGAAGGCAAGCTGCGGAACGAATACAAAGCAACTCAGAAAAGCTTTCCTCGAGGGGCTTTATGAGAATCTTGCTGAGCTACAGAGGGATCAGACGTACGTCACGGTAAGTCAATCAATGTGTTTCGCAGATTACTGTTCTATATGTTTACTGTTCATAATCATTATATTATTTCTGTATTATTGTTATTTCGTTTTGTTCTTACACAATGCTGTACAATGAATATTATTTCTCTCTTTTTGCAAATTTCATTCGCAATGCAACTTTTTAATATTGTGCCAGCATCCACGAAAAGAAAATGTAATACTTAAAACGATCAAACATTAATTGGAATTTTCAGCGATTGAGACTATTATCTTTGGTGATTCTATTAGAGTTCGCAGCTGTACTTCAAACTAATTAGTTTTACATGAACAAATCTTTCCTTTTTCGAGACATTTCAGAGATAGTTTAGTGAGCTGTAATTCGGTGATCGGATTAAAAATTAATAATTCTCTTCTCTTTTATGTTGTTTGTACTTTGGAGTAATGAAGACTTAATGAGGATGGATGCATACGTATTGGATGTATACATATATATCATAGCAATATTGTGTTGAAATCGTTTCTCTGTATTCCTCTTTGTTGATTTCTACTTGTATTTTCGCTCGCTTGAGTTTCCGGCGAATGAGTAAAGAGAATCTCGCGTAATCATATTACGCGTTTGGCATAGGTCTACTCGAAGCAGCCGGTAACCATACACCCTTCTTCGACATTGCACGGTACGAAGCCGCCATTGCTGCTGTTTACGGAGGTCGTAGCCACTGGAAGATGTTACCTTCGCGGTCTGTCTGTCATCGACCCGGCGTGGTTGACGCAAAAGAACGTCGGCCCCGGCAAGCACAACTGACGCAACTTTTTATGTTACAGTGTTATTTATACAGAGCTTATTTCCGTTGACGAGATAGAATAATTGAGGCCATTGGATAAAGGGATTGACGCCGTGATTTTGGAATGAAAGGATTGATAGCTGCGATTTAGAGAAAGATTAAGCGCTGGCATATTTTTCTAGCAATCTCTTCGTTCGATTCCTCAATCACGCTGGCATATTTTATCGAAAATATATGATTAGAAAGACACTTTTCTACTATTTATATACTTTAGTGTATATAAGCATTGTTATTAGATTTAGTTAATAAATATTTTACTTATTGTATATGTACATTGCATTGTGCGCATACTCGTTATACGCATCATTCTCACTTCGAACGTATGTTTAACAGCTCCTTTCCTTTTTCTGATTCATCCGACGCAGAGCAGAGATGTTCCTTAAATAACAATTTCCAATACCCGTATAGTTTACAGTTTACAGAGGAGTAATTAAGCGAAGATGCATTCGCGGCACTTAACGTCTAAGTGCATCTCACTCACCCGTCCCTGTCCTGTCGTCATCCTTCTTACCCGACATATACGTCTTGTTGTCGAAGTAGGAGCGGAACAAATTAAATACGAGTGAAAGATTATGGTATTTTGCGGTAAATTAACGAATGTAATACATCGACGGCGCGGCAAGTTTTGCCCCGCAAGCGTCGAATCCCGAAGTGTACTGCGAAGAAATCCAACGGAATGCTTCTCATCCTGGATTTTGGAGGACTTAATGAAGCCCGCACGCTTAATACTTGTTGACGGTATTATGAAGAGATTTAACCGCGGAACGAAATTTTGCACGCGCTGGTAAAATTGCAGGTAAATTATCAGCGGATGTTACGGGGGTGTTACGCTCATAGCTGCGCACTTATCCGGCACTTACCGCACTCCGTTCCGCGTTCTGTGTATTGGATAATTATGGCTTTAGCGGGAGAGAATATTGAATTTGCAACGTATAAGCTAATCGTCGGGTAGAGCGACGGAAGTGCTGTTCTCCACGCGCAGTTTCGCGACCGGACAGCTCGCGGTAAAATTTTCCATCGTATTCAACAATTATATTTGCAATTATTTCATTACTCAATTAGCTTTGTGTATTATAAATGTGAATATATATATAAAAAAAAATGTGTGCTCGTTTAATTCGAATAAGATTAATTTTGGAAACGTGTAAATATTGAATTGTTTTTCGGAATGTTATAGCACTTAATCATATCTTTTTTTCTTTTAGGTGAAAATCTTTTTTTCGCCTGACATGCGGCGATTTATTGCGTCCTTCGAGAAAGATATATGTTTATATATTTATAATCCCATACATATCGGAGAGATATCCTCAAACCCGGTTTAGCGGCAACTATATACCGGAATATGTTCGCCGATACAGCGAGGATCCGATATAGGATTAAATCGTCACGGAGTTAGTTATATGGCGCATGAGGATACCCGTTCGTCGAGGTCAGATCGAATTATATCCCCTTCCTCGTTCTCGCTTCCTCTATCTACTTGCAGTTGATGCGAAGATAGCTCTTTCGTACGGGGAAAATCACATTCGAAAATGTCGCGCAGAATGATGATGGCACTAACGGAGTTTATTGATTTCGCCGCTCTTATCGCGTTTTGCGACGTTTACTTCACATCCTATTGCGTAATCTAATCGTTTATATTTCTAGCTACAGCATTTTCACAGAGACGAGAAGATAATTAAAATTTACTTTATTGCAGGAAATGATTTCGTATATTTCAGTATTTGACTGTTTGTCCTTTAAAGTTGGACAGTATAAACACAAATATAATGAAATGTGAAAATGCCTCTAGGGTGTAAATAAAATGCGTTTTTAATTTAAACGAAAGTTCGAAAGCACTTTCAGCGTCAATCCGCACGGCTCGGACTCGTATATATAATTTCATTTATACAGAAAAAAATGCACAAATTTCTTGAAGAAAATTATTATTCATAATTTTTGTTGGCAGAAAAAACGGCGTATGCAAAAGTGATCCGCTTGACGTGAACTCGGAAGCCGAATATTACACGAGCGTGTAGATGTATAAGAGGATTTCAAATAATTGCGATGAAAAGCGCTTTTATTAAACTCAGGTACACATTTAAATTTACTTGAATAAGCAAGCGAATTACAAATTGTTCGACGCGAAACATAGATTACGCTACAATTTCGATTTTTGACGTGTAGTATCGAAAGCGTTTCGCTTTTGCGAAAACGAGGAATATCGTACGAGAATAAGGATCGCGTCGAAAGCTGCGAAATAATCGCCATCACGTGGTGGAATGCGAAAGGAGGGGTGAGGATCTTTCATTTCTGCGATCCACGTATGCAAAGGGATGGGATCTATTGCGGGCTCGCGTACGCGGCGCTATCCGGCGTGATTAAGAATTAAATATTTATGAGTGCCGCCGACTCTGTCGCGTCGCCGGTTATATCGAGCTTTCTTCAGGAATTCAGTTGATAGAGCACTCTCGTTATGAATAGAGCGACGGCGGAATCGCGCGCGATACCGGATAAGCACGCTGAAAGCGGATGAAAATAGGCATCCACCGTCGCTTCAAAAAAGCGTGCTTACTCTCTCTTCTCATCTCTCCTTACAACCCGTGCGCGCAGTCACCCTCGGCGTAAAGACGGTCCTTTGTACGAGGACACTTAGGAGACTCCTTAATAATGAATCTATGAATAGTCCGACCCGCCGTGTCGCCGCGCAATGTAAGTACGCTCGCGGACGTGCTGAATGACGCCGAGCTCATTTGCGGAAACAAACTCCCGGCTACGTTTTGATCAAGCGTTCGCCAACCGATCCGTCAACGCCAACATGCAATGCGAAAGGAATAAAAAGGAACCGCGTCTCTCGTGTATTCCGGTCGGCTGCATAATTAACCGCTTCCATTTTCCAACGCGTCGTCTTTTATATCCGCATTCACGCGCCGTTCACACGTTCTTTCTTTACAACCGCCCACGGTTGCTTCCCGATTGATCCACCTCCGCTATTATTTACAGTTCTTTAACCCTTTCAGACACGAGTCTCTTCATATATTTACAAGAAAGATCTCGGTGTTTTGTAATAATTTTCACCATAAGTTTATCTGTTTTCGTAACAAGAGCACACGTCTCTCTATTAAATAAATTCAAAATCAATGATGATCTCACTTGCGCAATTTTAATATTATTTGCTCAATTTGACGAGTAAAAAAGAAAGTGATGTCCATAGTAATGCAGATTCGGGTTCGTGTTCTTGTCTTTTCGATGCTATCGCGACGAGTGTGTTCGGGCTTCGTCCTTGTAAAGGCTTTATTCACAATATCTTGACGTCGTTGTTGATCGCATCGCTATTATAACGTAAACGGCGTAATAGTTGTTGTGCTAGCCACGGCACGTCGATCGCCACGAGAGAGAGGAGGACTTTGAGCGGAGAAAGACAACGGTAGCAACAGGTGGCATCAAAAATTCATTTGTGATGGGTCTCCATCAGCAGGGGACATCTGTTTCTGGGGATCACTCGGCCTTCTTAATTATGATTCCGGAGGGTAATTAGCGTTTCTCGCACCACAGGTGTGTCATTAAGATAATGCGAGTTGTATCCGCAGGATCCGGATGTAGTGACTGATAAATGTTACGTTGTAACATTAAAGAGCGTTTCGCCTGAAAATATTTGGAGAATGGTACGCTTTTCTGTCGGGACACTAATCGTGAGTTCCTCTTTAATCTCAATAAAAAGCGTAAGAGTTCATGTGAGGATAGGTGAAAAATCGCGGAACGTGTATTGAACTGTAATATGGAAAATATTCCACTCTTGATAAAAATAGTTTATTGTCATGTCTGTGTTGATCCACAAAAGAGGGGGAAAAAGTGAAAAAAACAGCATTCTAATTCCGAGCGCGGTTTTCATCGATTCGATAAATAGTGAGAAAAATTGAATAGAGATATACAGACTGAATTATATCGTAAGTGAACTGTTGTCAATGAAATAGTTGCCGCAAAAATAAAAGTTTTATATAATATCGATTTTTGTGCGCAAGTATTTTGCACAAATTTCTTTTTTTTCTTTATACATACATTATTACATTGAAAATAATGGAATTTTATATTGTGCGCCTTTATTGAGTTTTCTGCGTTTTTCCTGGTATTTTCAAACGTGATAAAATGATTTACGCCACTATTTCGTCCAACAATTCGAGCGCTCGACAATTCGCTTTTCGATTTTAATCTATCCATTTAATGATTTTCGTCCATAAGTATTCCTTTGTACAGACGAGGGCCGTGTTCGATTCAACGACGTCCATGATCTGTCGACCAACCTGAACGAACATTCCTAATGTTCTGAAAACAGCGATGATTATCGAGCGCAGACTGGACACAAAAGAAGGCGACTGAGCGAGAGATAATTGATTTCGATTCTGAAGAGTCTGCAATAGGATCGGTCTCGAATTTTGAGCCGATTGACTCGTCGAGTCCTTGTAATCATCCGTGAATTGTTCAACGAGAGATAATGAAGGTACTGTTCGGACTGAATCGTCGTTCTGTCTCCGTTTTTCCGGAATCGAAAGGGGAGAATTCACAGGAGAAAATTCCCAATTTTCGTAAAGCATTTCTCTGTGCAATCGTTCGGCTTTCGATAAAAAGAACGGATGTATCGTTCTCGTTGTCGCTGAAACGTCCCTTCCTATTCGTGATCCTTTCGCTTTTTTCGATTGACGACGTTTTCTTGTGTGGCTTCCTCCAGGTCGCGAGAGCGCGCTCCCTTTAACAGCATCACTTCCGTTCTCCTGAGATTCAAGCAGCCATTGCTCAGCACCGGCAGTTTTCTCTCCGCGAGGCGATAAAAACGAATCGCGAAATAATTCCTTTCGACCGAGCGTCAAATTTATCGGCTGCGCCGGATCGCACGATGATTTTCCCTCGAAATCCATCAACTTCACGACACGACGATGCTCATATGTGTCCGCGTTTGCCGGCCGGAACTGCGAATGCAGCGTCAAGCGATTTCCGCCGTCGTTCAAAGGGATCCGACGTCCTCCGGGATGCCTTTTCATCCCGCGATCCTCTTCTAGTATCCAGAGATCGGATAACGGCTCGCCGACTCTCGAGTTTCTTTCTCGCGACGACGACGAATACCGTCGAAAAGGAAATCTACGGCCGCCGAGCGATCGCCGTCGCCTTCTACAGAAAATTTCGAGTGAAAACGAACGCGGCCCGAAAACGCCTTGGGCGAAGGAATCATGATGGCTCGTCAGTGAACGTAAAACTTTACGACGCGTACCCTCCTCGAGACCCGTCGAGCCGGAACCG